CAGGGACGCTTCCACTGTCCCAGGTGCTCCCAGCCCCAGTGTCACTGCCAGGGATCCAGAGGCAGCCACAGCTGTGCCAGGGCTGCCCACCCAGCCAGGGAATTCCTTCCCCAATCCCATCCATCCCTGCCCTCTGGCATTGGGAGCCATCCCCTGTGTCCTGTCCCTCCATCCCTTGGAAATTGTCTCTCTCCATGTTTCCTGAAGCTCCTCCAGGCACTGGAAATCCCCAGTGAGGTTGATAGTAGAACCCTGAAAATGTTAAAGATAGAACTCTGAAAATGTCGGGCTTTGTGTTTTCTCAGATCAACTGCACCTGTGTAAGCAGGATGATAAATGATATAATTGTTAGATGTGATGATTGTTTAGTAATTAAATATAATTGTTATATAACCATAAGAAGAATCATGAGAAACTATATTGGAAATTTAAGGGGGCTATGTTTTGTATGTAATAGAACAATGTAAGTTTAATAATTAACATGAAAGTTATATAATGATAGAATATAAAAACGTGATCGTCTCGGATGTATGGTCGGAATCAGATTTGGGTTGTGACACCCCGATTCCCAGAGCTCTTAACAAAAGCACTGCATATAATCCCTTATGTGATTATGTGTATGTGACTAATGAGGTCACCCCAAAGCTTCTCCTGTCCAACAATCCCAGCTCTGCCAGCAAGGCTGCTCCATCCCTCTGCTCATGGAATGGTTTCATTTGGAACCTAAAGACCATTCAGTTCCAACCCCCCTGCATATCACTCCATAAATCATCCATAGGATTGCATAATATAATAAAAAATTGCATATTATTGCATTATAACCTGCAGTCTCTCTCGCCTGTTTGGGCCTGCTGCAGCACGTGCAGTAAAAGGGGAAAAATCTCCTTCTGTCAAGCCTGAGGGGTTGGAATTTACCTTTTGTGGGTTCCAGCTTCATCCCTGGGAATTCTTGGAGCTGGGGCCCAGCCCTGGGAATTGCTCAGTGACATTTCCTGCTCTGCCCTCCCCAGGGGATTGGATCCACTATGACCAGAACAAGAACGAGCAGAAGAGGAGCACAGGCAGTGAGTGATGACCCTGCAGGGTGGGAGCCCTGGGCTCAGGGACAGCAGGGACAGCAGTGACAGCCCCTCTGCTCCCTCCCCAGGTGTGAAGAGGAGGAAGCCAGCCCTCAGCATCCTGGAGGAAGAGGGGCTCCACAGCAAAAAGCAGAAAACTGGCGGCACTGCAGGTGGGAAAGGGCCTGGCTGGGATTTGGTGTCCTGGGATTGGAGCTGAGCTCGGATTTCAAAGGTTGTTCCCTGTGGAATGGTCCAGGCCTGGGGAAGAGCTGCTGGAAAGGTGTCTGGGGGTGATGGTGGCAGTGGCTGCACATGAGCCAGGCCTGGCCAAGGAGGTCCTGGGTCAGTGATTGTCCCCTGAGCTGGGGCTCCCCCAGCCCTGGGGCACTTTTGGGTTCCTCACAAGGACCTGGAGGGGCTGGAGCGTGTCCAGGGCAGGGAATGGGGCTGGGAAAAGGCTGGAGAATCCTGAGGGAGCTGGGAAGGGGCTCAGCCTGGAGAAAAGGGGGATCAGGGGGGACCCTGTGGCTCTGCACAGCTCCTGACAGGAGGGGACAGCCGGGGGGGGATTTGGGATCTTATCCCAGGAAACAGGGACAGGAGCAGAGGGAACGGCCTCAGGCTGGGCCAGGGCAGGCTCAGGGTGGATTTTGGGGAAAATCCAATGTTTTTCAGATGAAATGGGAGCAAAAAGCTTGACAGACAAGCAGCTGCTGGTGATTGCCAAGCTGCTGGACCGGCACTGGAGGGAGATGGCCATCGAGTGCCTGCAGATGGAGATGAAGGACATCGATGACATCCGCGCCTCGGAGGACGACGTGACCATGCAGAAGCTGCTGCTGCTGAGGAAGTGGAGAGACAGGGAGCAGGGCCAGGGCACTGCAGAGGCTCTGCAGAGGAGCCTGGGGGAAAAAGCCACCTACGAGATCCTGCAGGCACTGCGAGGTATCAGCCTGAGCCCATCCTTACTCATCTGGGGTTGGGAATTCCATCAGGGAGTTTACCTGAGAGAATTTACCTGGGGAAAAAACCACCTACGAGATCCTGCAGGCACTGCAAGGTATCAGCTCCTGGGGATGAACCCATCCTGACCCAGCTGCGCTGGGAATTCCATCAGGGAATTTACCTGGGGAAAAAACCACCTATGAGATCCTGCAGGTGCTGCAAGGTATCAGCTCCTGGGGCATGAACCCATCCTGACCCAGCTGCGCTGGGAATTCCATCAGGGAATTTACCTGAGAGAATTTACCTGGGGAAAAAACCACCTACGAGATCCTGCAGGCACTGCAAGGTATCAGCTCAGCTCCTGGGGCAGCTCCTTGAATCCATCCTGACTCAGCTGGTGTTGGGAATTCCACCAGGGAATTCCATCAGGGAATTTACCAAATCACCACTGCATTGTTTGTTCTGGAGGTCAGAATTGTCTCCCTTCCACTCCCAGCAGTGACTTCATTTCTCGTGGTGTTTTTGTCCCTCAGGGACGGGTACAAAATGAATATTTTTGCCCCAAGTGTGGAGAGCACTCCCAGCATGACCTGGGTGTCCAGAGCAGTTCTTGGGATTTCCTGGAAGTCCCAAGAGGAGCTGTTTGGGTCTTTAGTTCAGGAATGGTTAATTAATGGTTAATTAACACCTTCCCTGATGGAGGACTTGCTGGTTCCATGATTAATTCTCCCTGGAAAGAACCTGGCTGGAAAAGGTGGAGAGCTCTCCCTCTCAGACTCTGTGTCACTGCCTTGTGCTGTCCCAGGGCAAGGAGTTTTTTATACATTTATTTTTTAAATGAAAGATTTTTAAATCCGATTTCCCTCAGTTTGAGAGGAGCTTCCAGAGATCCCACAATCCAGGTGTGTTTTTCCTTTCCCTCAGGTTTCCTGGCTCAGAGCTGAGCCAGCTGGGAGGAGGAAGAGGAGGAGGAGGTGGGAGCTTCCCAATCCAACCATTCTGCTCCCCTGGGATCCTCAGGAATGTTCCTGGTGGGAAATCCAGCCAGGATCCTCCAGAGAAACGTGAGTGGAGTTTGGTGTGGGCAGGAGCCACTTCCAAGGCTTTCAGGAGAGCTGGATCCCAGAATTCTGGGCTTCCCCCCGGGCAAAGCCGCTCCAGGAGGACACAAACACTGGGAGAAGCCACTTGATCTTTTTCATCACCTGGAAAAGATTTTTATTTCCTTCAGGGAAAAACAGGGAGAAGAATTCCCCTGGAACCTCTCACCCCCTCCCAAAGCCACTGAACTGCCAGAATCGTGAGGTGCATTGGATTTCTCATGGATCAGGGAAGAATAATCCGGAACTTGTACCAAATTCCTTGGCGTAATCACTGTATATGTGGAATTACTGTACAGATCCTGTGCATCCAGTCCTTGTCAAGCTGTGGTTCTGCTTCCTGAGATTCCCAAAGATGGGAACACCACTGTGAACTCCAGGCAGCTCGGAATTTCCCCGTGGAATTTCTTCTCCCCTCTTTTCTGTATAGCTTGTCTCCGTTTTTTACGTTTTGTAATTCCTTTTTTTGTATGAGAAACTTTTTATACTTCTTTTTAATTTTTTTTTAAACTTGATTTATTCGAACTTGGATAGAATTTAGGTTCTTAAAAATGTGAGGAGCTGAAATCCCTGTGCTGCAGGATAGGAAGAAAATTGGGAAAAATGGAACTTGCAGAAGAGAGGAGTGACCAGATCCAGGACTGTCTTGTTTTTAAGGCTGTGGGAGACTTGGGATCGTCTTCCTCTGTGTATGTTTGGGAAAGGAAAACATACTTTTGAAAAATAAGGATTAAACAGGAAAGATTTCCATTATTTCCATCTGAATTCTGATTTTTGTTTTAGTTGGATGAAGTGTTGGGAAGTTGTTGATTTCCTGGGAAGAGGAGGAGGATGGAAGTTGTTCCTCAGCCTCTGGAAAAGCTGGAGGAGCCACCAAGGGCATCCAAGGGGTTTTTTGGGGATGGAAATCCCAAAATCTCCCATCCCGTTCCAACCCCTGCCAGGGGCAGGGACACCTTCCCCATCCCAGGTGTTTCCAAGAGGGAAACTTGGATTTTGAAACCAATGACAGGGAGGTGTCTTCCCATGGCAGCAATATCCAAAGTATTGCAAAGGATTCATGGTGGATCCCAAGGAACAAAAAAATCACCCTGGTTTTGAAGGAAACCTTGATTTTATTAGGCAATAAATAGAATAAATAGAGAATATCATAAATAAATAATGGGCTGGAATGAAATATCATCATAAATAAATCAGGGGATAGAATGGAATATCATAAATAAATCCAGGAGTATCATCATAAATAAATCAGAGAGTAGAATCATAAATAAATCAGGGAATATCATCATAAATAAATCAGGGGATAGAATGGAATATCATCGTAAATGAAGGAATGTCATCATAAATAAATCAGGGATTACAATCATAAATAAATCAAGGAATATAATAATAAATAAATCAAGGAATATCGTCATAAATAAATCAGGGAATAGAATGGAATATCATAAATAAATCCAGGAATATCATCATAAATAAATAATGAAATAGAGTGGAATCTCAGATAAATCAAGGAATGTCATCATAAAATGGAATAGAATGGAATGTCATCATAAATGAAGGAATGTCATCATAAATGAAGGAATACCATCCTAAATCATGAAATAGAATGGAATCACAAATCAAGGAATATCGTCATAAAAATCAGGGAGCAGAATGGAATGCCCCCCCAAATAAACCATGGCATAGGATATCCTGAGTTGGAAGGGATCCCCAAGAGAAGGAATTATCATGAGCAGCTCTCGGTTCCTGAGCAATCAGCAGAATAAATACGGATAAATCAGAGTCAGGAACGTTTTGGTGCTCAGGTGTAGCTTCAATCCCAAACCTGGGAATTTAACAAAGCTTAAAAGGCCCAACCTGTGGGAATCCCGTGGGTGCTGAGTGTGTGTTTGGGTCAGGGGGAGCTGAGGAAGCTCAGCACCCTGGAGATGGTGACGCTGCGGATGCGCAGGGCCTGGAGCGTCGCGCAGAGCCGCAGCCGCGCCGCGAACGGCGCCGATCCCAGTGATCCCCACGGTCCCAATGGCCCCGATGATCCCATTGATCCCAATCCCGATGATCCCGACGGTCCCGATGATCCCATTGATCCCAATCCCGATGGTCCCGATGCCAATGGTGCCTCCAGAACCTGCCCGGTGCTGCTGCCCAGGGCCTGCAGGGGGTTGGAAAACGCCTTAAACCCAAAAATTCCCGGGATTTTCACCCCCTCAGGGATAAGCGGCAAGAGTGGGACGTAAGGATGGGCCAAGGGAAATATTTGGGATGGTTAATGTATCATTAAAAGGGAAAAGTTTGGGATATTTAATTTATGGTGAATAGAGTGAGGGAAGAATTTGGGATATTTGTCATAAATAGAGTGAGGAAAAATTTAGGATGGTTTATTTATCATTAATAGGGAAAATTTGGGATATTTAATTTGTTGTGAATAAAGTGAGGGAATAATTTGGGTTATTTAATTTCTCATAAATAGACTGAGAGAAAAATTTGGGATATTAATTTTATCGTGAATAGAGTGAAGGAAGAATTTCGGATATTTAATTTGTCATAAGTAGACTGAGAGAAAAATTTGGGACGTTTAAATTATCATTAAATGGGAAAAATTTGGGATATTTAATTAATCGTGAATAAAGTGAGGGAAGAATTTGGGATGTTTAAATTATCATTTAAAGGGAAAACTTTATGATATTAAATTTATGGTGAATAGAGTGAGGGAAAAATTTGGGATATTCGATTTGTCGTAAATAGAGTGAGAGAAAAATTTCTGATGTTTAAATTATCATTAAAAGGGAAAAGTTTGGGATGTTAAAATTATTATTAATAGGGAAAAATTGGGATATTAAATTTATGGTGAATAGAGTGAGGGAAGAATCTGGGATATTTAATTTGTCATAAGTAGAATGAGAGAAAAATTTGGGATGTTTAAATTATTAAAAGGGAAAAATTTGGCATATCTAATTTGTCATAAATAGACTGAGAGAAAAACTTGGGATGTTTAAATTATCATTAAAAGGGAAAAATCTGGGATGTTTAAATTATCACTAAAAGGGAAAAATTTGGGATATTTAATTTATCGTGAATAGAGTGAGGAAAAAATTTGGGATATTTAATTTATCAATAGAGTGAGGAGGAAATTGGAAATATTTAATTTGTCATTAATAGGATACATTTTGAAGTATTCAATGATAGCACTAAAGGACACAGGATAAAATTTGAAAAATGTAATGATAGCATTAATACGGTACATTTTGAAATATTTATTTTACCCTGAATAGAGTGAGGGTCAAATTGGAAATATTGAATCGATCATTAATAAGGTAAATTTTGAAATATTTCATGATTGCATTAATAGACTGAGGCTAAAATTTGAAATATTGAATCTTATCAATAATAGGGTAAAATTTCAAACATTTCATGATTGCATTTATAGACTGAGGCTAAAATTGGATTCATCAACTTTTAATCCATCTTGGTGCCCCAGGTCTGTTAGATTCCAATATTTGGAGGAGAAATTGAGATTTTCCTTCCCCAGTTGCTGAATTTTGGGGTCTGCGTGGGGCAGGAATCCTCACCTCCATCATCCCATCGAGGGCTGCCAGCAGCTGGGGGTCAGGGAGGCTCCTCAGCTGGGCCCTGTAGGCTCTCACGTCCTCAGAGATGCCCTGCAGGCATTTTCCCTGGGAAAAACAAATAGAATTGTCAGGAAATAAATGGAATTGTCAGGAAATGTGGGAATCTGCTGCTCCTTTTAACATACAATGAGGAAAAGAAGGAGGTTTTTTTGGAAATTTCTGTTTACCTCATCAAAAGTTGATTTTTCCAGGACTGGGCAATTTCCAGGCTGCAAATTGAACAAGAATTGAGATTTGTGATTTAGCAGGAGTGTGGATGATAATTCCATGAAACCATGAGGTGAAATTTAAATGTCATCTGTAATTTCTCTGTGTTTTACCCCTGGATCCGCAGCTGTGCAGGCTCTGAGGGTGTTGGTCTGGTTCTCAGTGATGTCGTGCAGATCCACCTCCTCGAGCGTGCATTCAAACCCCAGGGTGTTGGATTCCTGGGGTGAAAAGGGAATTAAAAAGGGTCCTTGCAGACACAATTTGATACACAGACACAATTTCATGTATCTGTGCTCAGATGAACCCCAGGAATGAGGCTCTGTGGGGACCACGGTTAAATATGAAATACAGGAAATGGTTTGGGGACCATCTCTGACATCCTGGGGCCACCACTGTGTCCTGGGAACCATCACTGATGTCCTGAGGACCATCTCTGACATCCTGGGGACCCATCACTGATATCTTGGGGACATCCCTGCCCTCCTGGGACCATCTCTGCTGACATGGGGACCAAAACTGCTCCAGCATTTCCAGGTTTGGTGTCACCACTGCCCCATCCCTGCCCTCCTGGGTGTCACCACTGCCCCATCCCTGCCCTCCTGGTTTCTCAGCAGCCCCTGGTTGCCCAGCTGGTGCCTGGGGACCATCCCTGCCCTCCTGGGCACCGCAGTTACCCATCCCTGCCTGCCTTGGTGCCATCCCCATCTTTCTGGGTATCATCACTTGCTCCTCACTGGCCTTTGTGTACCTTCACCACCTCTCTGGGTACCACCACTGCTCCATCCCTGCCTGGTTTGGTGCCATCCCTACCCATCCCTGCCCTCCTGGGTGTCACCACTGCTCCATCCCCGCCCTCCTGGGTACCATCCCTACCCATGCCCGCCCTCCTGGGTACTACCCCTACCCCATTTCCACCTTCCTGGGTACGACACCGACCTCATCCCCACTCTCCTGGGTACCACCACTGCTCCATCCCTGCCCTCTTGGGTACCACCACTGCTCCATTCCTGCCCTCTTGGGTACCATCCCCACTCTCCTGGGTACCACCACTGCCCCATCCCTGCCCTTCTGGGTACCACCGCTACCCCATCCCAGCCCACCACATCCTCCCCGTCCCGTCCCGTTCCCCGCGCACCTTGAGCCGCTGCGGGGCGGCGTTGGCGGCCTCCAGGAGCTGCCGGGAGCGGTTGAGGCAGCGCTTCGGGTCGGTCAGTGCCCGGTCCGTGCTGGTCAGTGCCCGGTCCGTGCTGGTCAGTGCCCGCACCGCGCTGGGCAGGGCCCGGGCCGGGGGCAGCAGCAGCAGCAGCGCCAGGCACAGCAATGCCCGCCCGCGGCCGCCAGGCGGCGCTGCCTGCCCGCTCCCGCTGCCGTTCCCGGAGTTTTTCCCGGTGCCGCTCCCGGTGCCGTTCCCGGTTCTCTCCATTCCGTTCTCGCCGCTGCCGCCCCGCTCCATCTCGCTGCCGTCCGTCCCCGCCGGGACAGCTCTTATAGAGCCGCGGCAGCCGCGGGATTTCCCCCCGGGCCCGCCGCGCTCATCCCGAGAGCGGCGGGGCCGGGAATCCCGCACGGCGCTGGGGCGGGCACAGCTGGAGCCCCTTCCTGGGCTCTGCACAAAGGCTTCCAGAGATGTGGGGTGGGCTCGGCTCAGTGCGATAAACCTCCATGGAATCACAGCATCGTGGGATGGTTTGGGGTGGAAGGGACCTTAAAGATGCTCTCATTGCCATGGCAGGGATTCCGCTGTGCCAGCCTGGCCTTGGGCACCGCAGGGATCCAGGGGCAGCCACAGCTGCGCTGGGAATTCCATCCCAGGACCTCCCCTCCCTCTCAGCCAGGAATTCCTTCCCAAATTCCCACTTAAATCTTCTCCTCTCTCAGTTTGAAGCCATTCCCTCTCTGTTCTGTCACTCCATTCCTTGGAAATCATCTCTCTCCAGCTTTCCCATTTCCATTCTTTATCCTGCTTTCCTCTCAAGGATGAAGAGACAGGGCAAGAGGAAGCAGCCTCAGGTTTCACCAGAGGAGTTCATGTTGGATATCAGGGAATATTCCTTCATGGGAAGGGCTGGAAGGGGGTGCCCAGGGCAGTCCCTATCCCCGGAGGGATTTAAAGCCCTGGGGAGGTGGCACTTGGGGACAGGGCTCAGGGGTGGCCTTGGCAGGGCTGGGGATGTTGGACTGAATGAACTTTGAGATATTTTCCAGCCTAAACCGTTCCATGATTCTCTGATTCTCTAATGACAAACTCTCACTAGTGAATGTTTGTGAAAACCTGCCTGAATGGTTGATTTTGCAGAAATATTTGGATAAATCAACCAATATTTCAATATGGTCCCCTATTTTTGGTGGCCATTCTCAGCTGCCCCAAAAGGCTGCAGAAAGCTTTTCTGTGCATTGGGACTGCCATGAAGTCACTGGGATTTTTGCTGTCAAACTGGAAGGGAGCAGGATGAATCAAGAGTTTTATATTGCATTTTCAGGTTCTTTGTATTTTCACTGTTTCCTATAAGAAGCCTGTGGCGTGTCCTGAGACTTGTTTTAGCCCCAATAGCAGCAGTGCCTCAATTTCCAATTTCTCTCTGTGTTTTCCAGCCCTGCCCCGTCACTCCACCGTGGGCTGTGGTTTCCAGCTCGTGTAGGAGCCGCGGCTTCCGAGAGCCAAAAGCGAAAGAGAACTTTGGGATGTGCAGCAGGGCCGTTCCTGAAAGGCACCACTTTGGCTTTCCAGGTTTCTCAGGCCCTGCTCCACGAGGTTTCCCAGCAGGGTCAGAGCTGGGCTGGGGTTTGGGGTGGATTTTTGGCTAAATTGGGATATTTCCTCATGATATCCTACAGATCTCTCTTGGAATCCTTGCTGGGATCCCTGGCAGTGTCCCAGGCCAGGCTGGATGGGTTTGGAGCACCCTGGGACAGTGGGAGGCGTCCCTGCCATGGCAGAATGGGATGGGAGGGGATTTAAGGTCCCTTCCAACCCAAATTCTGGAATTTTAATTCTGCTGAGTGGAAATTTTTTTCCCAATGGAAGAGGAAATGCATCTCCTCCTCCTTCACCTCAAAGCACCCTCTGCTTGACCTGGCTTCGCCTGAATGAAAAATCTTGATAATTAATATTTATATTAATCACATTAGAGCAAAAGGATATGTTTTATACATTATAATCTATTTAAATAAGAGAATTACTCCTTGAGCAAGTGCAGCCCCAGAGGAATGGGACGCAGTGCTGAAATGGAATGGGAATAATTAAAGATCTGTGATGTTCCTTTGTGTTTCTTTCATGGAATCATAAAATCATGGCATTTTTTAGGTTGAAAGGGGCATTAAAACTTATCCAGTTACACCTTCCACTCTTCCAGGTTACTTCAAGCCCCAAAATCCAGCCTGGCCTTGGACAATTCCAGGGATCCAGGGGCAGCCACAGCTGCTCTGGGCACCCTGTGCCAGGGCCTGCCCAGTACAATAAATATAATAAATATAATAAATATAGTAAATATAATAAATAAATATAATAAATATAATAAGCATAATATGGATAATATAGATAATACAGATATATAGACAATAATATAATATAATATAATATAATATAATATAATATAATATAAATCACATGTGGTTTATATATATATAATTAATAACTGTTAAGTTATAAAAGTCTCAGCAACTGTATGATTTTTCCACAAGAAAATATAATTCCACTCCCTGTATTTCAACCAGAAATCACTTTTGTTGGAATTATCCTCCAGAGCAAAGTAAGGCTCGTTCTGGGTCTCTATAAATTTAGATTTGATCTAACGCAGTCAGAATTTGGGGAATCCCTGCTGGGGGCTCTGCCCTCCCCCAGATCAATACCCAAAAGCACTGCTTGAGACAGAAAGGGAAAGCACAGATCAGAAGGAAACCCGGTGAGAAAAGCCCCAAAGCCCCAGCCCCGGGCTCAGTTTGGTTTTGAGGCCTGGAGAGTTGAGAGATGAGAAATGGGATCAGCTCCAGCCTCGCTCTTCTGAAAAAGCGGGAGGTTCCTGGAAATGTCCTGCCTTTGTGTCACCCCTGGCTGCTCTCCCCTCCGATGAACAGAAATTGAAGTTTTGGCTTCGTTTTGGCCAAGGGACCAAAGGTTTCCAGGTAGGAACCGTGGGCATCGCCCTTGCTTTGAGGGAAATGAGGTTTGGGGATGTTTCCTGCCAGCTGTGGGGTGTTGTTTCTCCTGGATTTTAAAACTAGATGGATTTTGCTCATGAGCAGGCTCCAAACCCTTTGAGCAGGTCATGGAGTCGCTCGTGGCATCCTCAGTGAGCAGGGTTTGCTTCTTTGTAGGGCAGCCTGGTATTGGAAATGGCAACAATTTTACAGCTCTGATTAAGCAATAATTACAGAGAAACAGAAATTAAAGCTGCAGGGTGATTCAATCCCACCCAGGCTGATGGGCAGCTGTAGACAGAGATCACTGCTCCATTAAAAAATGGGAAAGCATTGCATGGATTGGGATTTCTTGATGCAATAAATAAAAGGGATCTGATCCTGCTTGCCACCCACACAACTTGTGGGATATTGAATCATTTATTTGCCTCTGGATCATTTTTTGGGAAGTCCAAGGTCAGATTTATCACCAGAGGAGCCTCACTGACAGGAGCTGTTTCTGATTTGGGTTGGGAACTGACGGCTCCATAAAATAGGAGGAAAAAGGATCAGGAAAAACTTTCCTGGTGTTTTTGTGGCTGCTGGTTCTGACTCCTCATGGAATTCCCTGAAATTCCTAATCTCCAACCTCTGCTTTTGCTGGTATTTTATCAGAGGGTGATTAAATGGTGTTTCTGGAGCTTTCTTGGGGTGCTGGAAGCTCTAAAATCCTGGCTCAGTCACCTGCATGTCTTTGCTCTTTTTTGTTTTCCAGTTGCCACCAGAATTCCTGAGATTTCCCCATGATCCCTGCTGGCTCCTGGATTCCTGGGAGCACCCAGCTTGGGATCCCCAGATTCAGAGGCTGCTCTTTGCAGGCTCCAAAGCTCCAATCCCCTCTCCAGGGGAAGGGATTCATCCTGGGAAAGGGGTGAAGCCACTGGGAACCCCTGGATCAGGGCTGGGATTCCCTAAAAAGCCCTCAGGGTGCATTTGGGACAGGGAATTTCTCCCACTGAGTTGGGAGGAGCAGAGATCAGGGAGAAATTCTGCCCTGGGAGGGTGGGGAGGCCCCAGCCCAGAGAAATTGTGGATTCCCAGAGAAATTTTGGATCCCCCATCCCTGGAAGTGTCCAAGCCTGGGCTGGATGGGGCTTGGAGCACCCTGGGATAGGGGAAGGTGGAACTGGATGATCTTTGAGTTCCCTTCCACCCCCAACAACCCAAACCTTTCCATGATTTAGTGATTCTGTGGGATAAACATGGAGTAACATCACAGCCCAGCCCACAGATTCAGGATTATTCCCATTCCCTGCCCATGGAACTGGGATTTAAGGTCCCTTCCCAACCCAACCCAACCCATTCCAGGATTTTATGGCTCCCTGTGGGTCCATCAGCCCTGTGGGGTTTGTTTTAAACTTCCACAGAATTAAGAGGAATAAAAACCTCCAGGAGCTGCAGGGAGAGCTGCATGCCCTGGAAATTCGGGGATGCTGTGAGCTCATCCTCCCTGGGCTTGTCCCCAGGGCTGTGGGTGAGGTGATGCCAGCTGTGCCCGTGGTTTCGTGCCACTTTCGGGGAGCTCTTTCTCTCTCACTTTCAGTTTTCACCCTTGACAGGGTTTCTCAGCTCTGGGTGCTTTTTCTGCTCCCTATCCCCCCCTGTCACCTCCTGGCTGTGGTGCTGTGCTGGGCAGGCAGCAGGGATGGGGAAAAGCAGGAATTTTGTCCTTGCTGGGGCTGGATTTGCTTTGCCCTTTCACCTCACTCTGGCTTTGCAGGGGGAGAAAAGAAAGGAATCCGATCTTGGATGAGCAGGAGCTGATCAAGGAGATTTATTTCAGCATTTCTTTGATGCACCATAATTTCCCAAGTGCCGTTAACGATGGAATTCTCCATTCCTGAGGAAGCTGTGCCAGGCCAGCAGCAGAGGAAGCCCAGGAGATGCAGAGCTCAGAGCCTGCAGAGCTTGGGGCCACCTGGGAGCTCTGGGGGCACAGAATTCCCTGGGTTCCTGTCCCAGGGCCATGGGCTGGGCAGGAGTGAGCCCCAGGAATGGTGTGTGTGCCCAGGGTTTCACTGCTGCTCCTGCAGGCTGGGCACTCTCCTGGCAGAAATTCACCCCCAGGGCCAAACGTTGTGGGTTTGCTGTGCCTCGGTGAGGGAAAAAAGGGAATTAGTGCAATTAGGGAAGGGAGGAGCTGACCCAGAGCAGGTCAGAGCTGCCAGGGTTCTGGGGGGAAGGTGGGGAAGGTGGGGAAGGGACCTTCGGTCCTTCCCACTGAAACAAGGAGTGGGAAACTGCAGGACAGCCTCAGGGGGAATGGATTCCCACTGCCAGAGGGCAGGGATAGCTGGGAATGTGGAGGAAATCCTTCCCTGGGATGGTAGGAGGGGCTGGGGTGGGATTCCAGAGCAGCTGGGGCTGCCCCTGGATCCCTGGCAGTGCCAAGGCCAGGCTGGACAGGGCTGGGAGCACCTGGGGCAGGGGAAGGTGCCCCTGCCATGGGAATGGGGTGAGATTTCCCTTCCAACCAAACCATTCCATGATTTTCAGATGATTCCTGGTTTTGGGATGGCTCCTGGAGCTGGGGAGAGCAGCCAGCTCTGCTCTGGGTGCCGTGGCTCCCACAGAGGGCACAGGAACGCCCTGCTTTCCCCATCCCAGGATATGGGACAGCCAGGGCTCCCTCTCCTGCCAGGGCCAGCTGCTGCCCATGGCAAAGCCCGGGAGATCCCTCCTGCCCTGCGGCTCCCGTGGCAAAAATAAACCCTGCATTTTATGCAAATGCTGCAGAAAATGAAAGGGTTTCACTCAAATCCCGTGAGCTGGGCACCGGGAGCTGCAGAGCTCAGGGCATTTCCCCTGCTGGAGCTGGGGAAATAAACCAGAAATAAATCAAACTTAAACATTCAATATAAATAACCCCAACCTGGAGGGGAAATCCTGTTTTACCAGCCGTGGGGCTTTGTGGAATCCCAAACCATTCCCAGATGGGCAGAGCTGCTGGAGCAGCCCAGAAATGGTTGCCCAGCCCCGGTGGCATCTCCCAACCCCAAACTCTCAAAATCAAAAAAATTTTCTATCTTTAAGATTTTCTATCTGTAAGATTGTTTCCCAAGACTGGGATTGAAGGTACTCGAGATGATTGTGTTTGGATTTAGGTGTTTATTGTTTTTCTTTATGTTAGAGCCTTATAGGTAGTGAATTCTGTACTTCCTCACCAACAACGTACAAAATGGTTAACAATCTTTTGTTGTAAGTTTTGTTTAAGGTTAAACTATCTAATTAAGAAATTATACTTATTTTTAACTAAATAACTAATCACTTAAAGTCTGCAATGTGGACTTTTCTGTTTAATTACAAAATACTACTCAAACTTATGAAAAAGAAAGGAGAAGAAGGTAGAGAAGAAGGACTGGTTTCCGGTTTAAAACTTTTATTTTGTTTTATGTAGATTACTGTATTTTAAAACTTTAAACTTGAAGTTTTCTACTTTGTGATATTACACACTTTTAATTAAGTACACACTTGTAATTCCAGTGTTATCATTCCATTTTGGGATCCTTCTCCACAGCCTCAGGTCAATGCAGTGTTCTCCTGGGAGAGTCTGGCAGCACAGAAAGTCTGAAATTCTCAGCATCCAGAGCTCCAGCAATGGGGATCCCTTCCCCACTCCCAGAAATCCATCTCTGCGTGGTTTGGGAGTGCAGAGCCCCGTTCCAGCTCTGTCCTTGCTCTGGGTCATTCCCTGAGCCAGGAGGGGTTGTTGGGTTATTCCAGCAGAATTCCCTCAGCACCCATGGGACTTTCCCAAATTGGTGTCTGGGTGTCAGCCCTTTGTCCATGGTGGAACAGGGAGACCCAGAGCAGGATTTTCTCCTGGGAAAACCCAATTCCCCCAGGACAGGAGGGGAACACCAGCGGTGGGTGAGTGGGACAACAAATTCTCTCCAGCCAGTCCAAGGCACTTGGCAGGGGATGGAATTCCAGCCTTGCCAGGCTGGGTGCTGTGGGATTCCCCAGCTGCACCTGGGAGAACACCTGGGAAAATTCCTTCTCCCACAGCCCTGCCTGGAGCTGAGCTGAGCTGAGCTGAGCTGCTTAGAAAAGCCTCAGAGTTCCACGTAGAACTGCAAAATTCCCATTTTTCAGAAAGATGAAGATGCTTCACTCTCCATTTAAGGTGAGTTTCTTCCCCAGAAATGCTTCCCTTGTGAGGCTATGCCTGGGCTTTGCTCCCAGCCCTCCAATTTCTCCATCAGCAATCCCAGCCTGCCATCAAACTCTAAAATCCATGGAGCAGGATGGGCTGGGATGGATCAGAATCGGTGGCACCACCAAAAATTGGGATAAATCCTCTTCCACCCATCCTTTCTTTTTCCTCCTCCACAGCCAAGAGACTTTAAATGATATTTTCCCACTGAGAAGGGGAAGAGGGAAGGGCTGATCCCACCAAGGGACTGGAAAAGCAGATTTTAGCCGGTTTGATCCCATTTGGATTGGAAAGTTCCCCGTGCTGTGGGCACACAGATGTCCCTGCTCACCCCTGGCGCAGCAGAGGAGGAAGAGAGCCCTGCACTTGAGGCTTTCCTTTGGTTTATGGGAAGAGGGAAGAGAAACCGGCTGGGGAGAGGCGTGGGATGTGCGGGGAAGCGGGAGGGACGTCAGCTCCAGCACAGGGAGCCCCCCCGGCCTGGAGGGAACATCGGGGAGCTGTGCACCCCATGGGCAGGGTGTGGGGCACAGGGATGGCCTGGAACGGGCTGGGGACAGGGGGCACACGGGGGGAGCGTCCCCTCACCCCAAAGTGCCCCATGTGAGCCTGCCTTCGTTATCACAGGCTCATTAGTGCTTCTCGTTGAGGGTGGAAAAGAAATGTAAAAGGTTTTGTGTGTGGTTTTGATGGGATTATGGAATGGGAGGGACATTAAAAATCGTCTCATTCCGTCCTGCCCATAGCAGGGACACTTTCCTCTGTGCCTGGCCTTGGGCACCCCCAGGGACGGAACAGCCACAGCCTCACAGCTTGCCCCCTTTTCCATGCCCCTTTTCCATGCTCCCGGCCCATGGTGGTGCCTCTGTGGCCGGGGAGATGCTGCTCAGCACACCCCAGAGCTGCTGCAGAGGAGGAGCCTCATAAAGGGCAGGAAATCCCCAAAAGGGGGACCCCAACCACAGGGCTTCCCTGCCAGGAAGCAGCTGGCTCATAGAGCTCACCCCAGCTCCCAGGGCTGGAGGAATTCCTGTCAGCACGACCTTGCCTCAGGCAGGAGGAGGATTTGGGGGTCCTTCTTTATTTAATGCAGCATTTCAGGCTCTTCAGGCACAGGAGGGTTTAGAGTGAGACTTAAAAATGTCAAGAAATGTTGTGGTTTGAGACCAGCTGGACAAAATTCCCAGCCTGGCATCCTGTGGGAGAGGGTTTATGGGAATCAAAATCCCACCCAGGAGGGTGCAGGAGGCTCCAAGTGGGACCAAGAGCCAGGAGCAAAACACAGAACCAAAACCTTGCTCAGAAAGCACACACCAGACCCTTGTGTTTCAGAAATAGCCTTTAATCCATCAATCCCAGCATTGCCATCACCCACAGCCCCCCTCGGAGCCAGAGCAGGATTTTCTCCTGGAAAAACCCAATTCCCCCAGGACAGGAGGGGAGAACCAGCAGTGGGTGAGTGGGAGAACAAATTGTCTCCAGCCAGTCCAAGGCACTTGGCAGGGATGGAATTCCAGCTTTTCCAGGCTCTCATCCCACTGCTCCAGAGCTGGAGGGTGCCAGGGCAGCTCTGGGATTCCCCAGGAGCACCCTGGGGCTTGTTTGTGTTTTTTTGGTATTTTTTACTTTAAAACTAAGAGCAAACTTTGTGTATTTGGGGTTTTTCATGCTTTGGATGCAGCAGGAGGCAGCTCCTCCCTGAGACCCAGAGAGGCAGAGCATCCATGGAGAGGTTTTGGGGTCAGACACTGCAAATTTGAGGGTTTTGAGGGAAAATTTAACCTTTAGTAGGAACATTTAAACCCAGCAGCGCTCCCCATGTGCAGGCAGCCACCCAAGAGCTGCAGGGAAACCAGCACCCCAATATTTCTCCATATTTTCTGCATGGATTTAAAAATAAGGAAGAAAAGGGTTGACTTTTTTATCCTGCACTGCAGGTGAGAGCTCCTAATCCATCCAATTGCTAAATTCTTATTAAATTAATCCATCCCTGCTCCCTAAATTAAACCAATCCCCATTCCAGCCCTCAAACCCCTCTGAGGGCTTCTTCCAACCCTGCCCTTTCTGCAAAAAAAAGGGGGGAAAAAGTCATTTAATGAAAGAAAAAAGTACTTTAATAAAAGCCATTCCTGGCAGGGGATGAAATTTTAATGCAGCTGAGGCCTTTTGCAAACAGCCTGAATAAGTCATCAGGCAGAGCCTTGGCTGGGATGGATTTGCCCCCGAGGAAATGAGAATTAAAAGGTAAAAAGCTGCTGGGAGCACCAGGCTGGGACTTAGGAAGGGCTGCCTGGCTTCTTCCAGCTTTAAATCCAATAAAGGAGGGATGGAGACAAATTTATTGTGTCCCAGTGTCCCCTCCCCTACAGTCAGAGTGAGGAATTCCACATTTAATCAGTTTAATTTGCTGCCCATTTTTAAACATAGATTAATCTTTTTATTTCTAGAATTTCATTTAAATGTTCAGCCCAGACAATAAAATATAAAAAACCCACCTGGGCTGTGTGTCTGCTGCTTCCAACTATCACAAATTCAGGGCTCAGTGTTACAGAAGAATCCATGTGAAACAGAATTAGGAACTTATAAATAAATAAAATTACAAAACCCCTCTCTTCTCTCAGTTTCATGTGATCAGCAAGGCAAAAAAAAAGGGGGTTTTTATACATTTAGTTGGAGGATCCACCAGCAAATCCACCCCCTTGGCAACAAACAGACGTGTCATAGGAAACAATGGTGGTAATTTTTATTTTACAGCTTTATACAGAAAACTTCCAACTCTCTGCACCCCACTGTGTTAATAGCACACCTAAAACGAATGTCAGGTAGTCAACATTCCCCAAAATGCTGAGAACTGAGTAAAATGTACAGATTACTGAAAGCTACGACGTCACTACGAGGCAGGCATGGATTTCTTGTTGACTTGTATAGCACCGTCAAGAACAGGTTCTTTATTTCAAAACTACAGTGAGGAATAAAAAAGTAGTCAATGGTAAAATATCATCCAACCCAAAAAATCTCTAAACGACCAAAAAATAAAGTTAAACTACCCTCTCTTCTCGCCCATGATTTATAATGTTATAAGTACTGTACAATTCTCTTTGTTTCTGTAATAATAATAACATTATTATTATTATTAAAATGCCTGATATTTAGTGGCACGAGTAAAAAAATTAAAATAAATTAAGAAGCAGAGGCCAATCACCAGACAGAAAGCTTGGGACATGGTCAATGAGCAACACTGGAACTCATTCCCTGGACAGGACAGAGGCAGGAGGAGGGATTCACTTGGCTGGCATCTTCTCTGCCAGGTGCTTCTGCTGGCTCTCGGCGTGCCTGGGGGCAGGAGGAGGATGTTATTCCTGTTTGCCAAGGAAAAGCTGGAAAAGCCAACCCCCTGCTGGAAAAGCCAACCCCCTGCTCCAGCACCGAGCTGGGAATTGTTTTCCCATAGAAAAAACCCAAGTTTTTACAGATCTCCTCCTGGCAGGAGGGTGGGTGAAGGGTCAGGGGAGCCACCTTGGGGTTTGGTTTGGGGCTCCTGGGATTTTTCCCGCCCTTCCCACAGGGATGGCCAACACCTTCACCCCTAAATAACAGGGGTGGTAACCTCAAAGCCCCCAGAATAGCACGTGCATTCCCAAAATTGCCATTTCTGAAACTGCCAGGAGCTGCAGGGAGGAATCCAAGCACCTTCAGAAGAAAAGAGGGGAACCCAGGGCATGTGGGGGCACTGACTCAGCTCCAGCTCCCGTCCCTAATTTCACCCTCACCACCTGATCCTCACTATTTTCCCAGCTCTGATGCTTCAGTTTGGAATCACAGTCCTGGTGTGCTGACACTACCCAGGGCCTCTTCTTTTCCAGCTCCTTTCATCCCAAATCTTTGCATTTCTGAATGAAATATTCAGAATATTTGGGAGCATTTTATACTTCTAAAGCCCATCCCTAATTATCCCACACAAAAGTGCCTCTTGAGCCTTGCTGCCAGGAGATGGAGCCCTTAAGGGAACCTACCCATATCCTGCAAGGCTTTTTGCCTTATCAATTATAATTATTATTAATTTTAATTATTAAATAGCTAGAAAATGGTATTATCTTTATATTACACAACATATTTTCTATACAATATTATTATATATAATAAAATAGTATTATATATAATAGATAATAGAATATATTATATAATTACATATTATTTTATATAATATATAATTATATATACATTATTTATATTACATTATTAAAATGTATTATATAATTATACATTTATATATATATTATATAAAATATATATTGTAATATATTATATAATTTTATGTAATATATTATTATTTTATAACTATTTATAATATCTACATTATTTTATAGTTATATAAACTATATATTCTATAAAATATATCATTATTAAATATTAATATTTAAGTGATTCCAAAGTTTTCCCCCTTGTCCAGCCCTCCTGATGACTAAGACAGATCCCTGTCCAAGCTGGCCTTGGGCACTTCCAGGGATCCAAGGGACAGGCTGGAAAATCCATCCCTGGGCCTCTCCACCCTCCCAGGGAACAATTCCTTCCCAAAATCCTGAGTGGCAAAATCTTTAATCCCAAAATCCTAGATGGCAAAAGCTTTAATCACAAAGTTCTGTGAGGAAAAGCGCCAGATGCTGCTGCTGGTGAGCTGTGAACTGTGAGGGGAGGACAGTCCCTGCCTCACGTGCTGAGGGAAAATGGGAGCTGTGAGGGAAAGCAGTCCCTGCCTCGCCTGGTGAGGGCAAACTGTGAGGGGAAAGCAGTCCCTGCCTCACGTGCTGAGGGCAAACTGTGAGGGGAAAGCAGTCCCTGCCTCACCTGGTGAGGGAAAATGGGAGGGGACAGCAGTCCCTGCCTCGCCTGGTGAGGGAAAATGGGAGCTGTGAGGGGACAGCAGTCCCTGCCTCACCTGGTGAGGTCAAACTGTGAGGGGACAGCAGTCCCTGCCTCGCCTGGTGAGGGCAAACTGTGAGGGGACAGCAGTCCCTGCCTCGCCTGGTGAGGGCAAACTGTGAGGGGACAGCAGTCCCTGCCTCACCTGGTGAGGGAAAATGGGAGCTGTGAGGGGACAGCAGTCCCTGCCTCACCTGGTGAGGTCAAACTGTGAGGGGAAAGCAGTCCCTGCCTCACCTGGTGAGGGAAAATGGGAGGGGACAGCAGTCCCTGCCTCACCTGGTGAGGGCAAACTGTGAGGGGACAGCAGTCCCTGCCTCGCCTGGTGAGGGCAAACTGTGAGGGGACAGCAGTCCCTGCCTCACCTGGTGAGGGCAAACTGTGAGGGGACAGCAGTCCCTGCCTCGCCTGGTGAGGGCAAACTGTGAGGGGACAGCAGTCCCTGCCTCGCCTGGTGAGGGCAAACTGTGAGGGGACAGCAGTCCCTGCCTCACCTGGTGAGGGAAAATGGGAGCTGTGAGGGAAAGCAGTCCCTGCCTCACCTGGTGAGGGAAAATGGGGAGTTGTGAGGGGAGAGCAGTCCCTGCCTCACCTGGTGAGGGAAAATGGGAGCTGTGAGGAAAAACAGTCCCTGCCTCACCTGGTGAGGTCCTCGATGTCCACCAGCATGGCATCCTGCTCCGTGTGCAGCTCGTCCCGGATCAGCAGCAGCTGCACCAGCTCCTCGTTCAAGCCTGAGCCGGGGGAAAGGGGCTGAGTTTGGGGTGTCCTGGGGACCCCAGCTGGGGATTGTCCCCCAAAAGTGCCACATCCACAGGGCTTGAAATCCCTGCAGGGGTGGCGACTCCAGCCCGGCCCTGGGCAGCTGGGCCAGGCCAGACAGCCCTTTCCATGAGGAATATTTATATTTATCCCAGAGAACTGTTCTTAATTAAAGCAGGCAGACCCCAGAATAATTAAGCAATTACCACTTACTTTCTATCTGTGAGTGCAGGTCGTTGACTATCACCTGTAGCTGCCCGATGGTCATGTCCCTTAGGTCAGTAGGTTTTAAACTTCTCTTCATCAGGCATTCACTTATATGAGGCATATGTGGCAGCTGGAAAGAAACATTCAATATTTTACTGCTTCCTTCCAATATTTTACTGTTTCCTTCCAATATTTTACTGTTTTCTTCCCATTATTTCTAGTTCTGAGCAGTTTGTCCCCTCAGTTTTGCATCCCTCCCTCACAAACAGGCAGCAACGACTCCAGCAAATGGAGTCCAGCCACCAGCACAGAACTGGGCCGAAGGCTCCCAGGGGAGGAGGAGCAGGAATATCTGATGGATTTGGTTCCTAGGGGAGCAGGATCAGGAATATTTGATAGAATTGGCTCCCAGTGGAGCAGGAATATCTCAGGGAATTGGGGATGAGGGTGGTGGTGACAGCCCTAGGCCGGGGCAGGAGCACTCCAAGATGGGATGAAGACTCCAGTTCAGAGCATGAGCAGTCTCAAGGCAGCACCAACCTCTAGCACCTCATTCCCCACTCCCATTTCTCCTTCCAACCCCTTCTCCAACTCTCCTGTCCACCTCTACCACTCCTATGAGCCAGAGCCACCAGAGGAGTGGATGTCCAGGCCTGGGCTCACCCCTGGCCCCACTTACAAGATCTGCTACCGGCGACTTCTTCCTGTTCTGCTTCTCCACCTCCACCTGCATCTTGGCCATGGGCTTGGCCATAGCCAAGGCCATCTTGGCTTCAGCCTGGAGCTTCTTCTGCCTGCTGAGGAAATCCATGTCATCCAGGGACTCCGACTCCTCCTCCGTCGTGTCTCTGTCCGAGTAGGACGAGCTCTGCTTGCTCTGGGGAAGCAAACAAGCCACAGCAAAGTTTGACCTATTTTTGTGCTTTTTTTCCCCTACAGAAACTGTCAAAAGCATGGATTTATTTCTTATCTTAATCCACGGGATTATCTTTAAAAATCAGAGTGATTCCCAGCTAGGCCTCCTTGGCTTTACAGTGAAGGAGGAGCCCAGCATGTCAGAAGGTGTTGAAAAGTTAAAGTGGAGGGAAACAATTGGGGCTGTGGTGTTGTATCCAAAAAGGAATGCTGGATCCATGAAGAAAGAAGGAAAGGAAAGGAAAGGAAAAGGAAAAGGAAAAGGAAAAGGAAAAGGAAAAGGAAAAGGAAAAGAAAGGAAAAGGAAAGGAAAAGGAAAGGAAAGGAAAAAGGTTCACACGAAGGCATCAAGTCTACAGCAGCAGGGGAGGTTTCTTATCTGTCCCTCAGCATCTCACATTTACTGAGGGCCAGAGATGCTGCTCTCTGGGGATTGGGGTTGCTGCTTTAACAGGATCAGCCTCCCCAGGGATGCCTGTGGCTGTCCTGCTGCAGGCTGAGGTGCCAGACCCACCATGGGTGACAAGGGCGTGTCCAGGCTGGTCTCTGTCTTGCTGTCATCGCCGTCGCTGTCCTTGTCGCTGCCGCTGTCGTTGACAAAGCAGATCTGCAGGTTCATCCCGCTCTGTAACCTGGGCGAGCACAGGGACAGGTGACACCGCTGTCCCCTGGGGCTGGGAGTGCCACCAGCTCAGCAGGTGACAGCTCAGTGTGGCACTGGGAGCTGCTCAGTGTCACAGGGCCTCTACCACCATCTACTGATAAACTGCAGAATTACCCCCACACTGCAGGGATTGGTTATTTTTTATGGTCATTGTTTCAGAATGTCATTATTATTTTTGCTTATTCAGCTCTGATTACATTAAATAAAATCTATAAAATGCAATAAAAGATATGGAACATGTTACCATAAAAAGCCACAAAGATTATTTACAAATAAAGAATGAAAAAATTAAGATAAATGTATAAAGATATAAATAGCATATATAATAATATATATTATTCAATATTTTGTCAATGGTGGAAATTATTTATTCACTGTTTGTTTCCAAGACACACCTGTAACACAAGAGTTTACTCTGGTTTATTTTCCAGCCCCCCTGCTCCACTGCTGGGTTGGGATTGATTAACCCCACCCACATTTCCCTTCCCAGGAATGATTTTCTCTGAATACAGGATCAGGGAATCCTGCAGGCTGAGAAAAGGGAAAAGCCCAGCTGAGAGACCCCAATCCATCCCCACCTGCTGGAGATGGAGAACCCCCAAATCCTGTTGTTCCTCATTCCCAGTGTGCTGGGAGCTTGTATTGTTCCTTAGGAACAGCAAACTCCCATTTTCCATTTATTTCTGTGGGGTTTATTAGTTACTATTACTACAAAATAAACAGGATTAATAATTGTTTATTAATGAACAAGTGAAGGTGGTGAGATCCTGGCAAGGAAGCTGTGGCTGCCCCTGGATCCCTGGAATTGTTCCAGGCCAGGTTGGACAGGGTTGGGATAGTGGGAGTGTCCCTGCTCATGGACAGGGAGCTGGATGAGCTTTAAGTTCCCTTCAGCATTCCATGTTCCAGCTCTGCAATTCCATATAAAAACATGGCAATAACATCCTGCAAATGTTCCTGCAGGTCCTGGAATAGGGAATACTTTTCCTGGGTTATAAATATTAACAACCACCAAATCCTTCAGGCACAGCTGGCAATTTCTGGGGGCACAGCTGCCAAACCCTGATGAGCTGCGTTAATTAGAGCCCTGCTCTAATTACCAGACAGCAGCTCCTGGTTCAGCTGTAACTACAGACAGCAAAGCTGTTTTCCCTTTTAAATGATCCGCAGCTCAATTTAACTCCACAACTGCACCTCTCCCCTGGAACTGCAGGGTTCCTCCTGGGTTCCTGCCTCCCTAAGCCTCCTTTCTTCTCCCATCCCATGGCAACAGGTAGAGCTTCACTCCCAGCATGGGAGGTGTTTGATGCTTCCCCAGTGCCCTGGGTTCCTCCCAGCTGAACACAAAAAGGACTTCCTGCACTGCATTTCATGCAAAAACCTTAAAAATCCAAGGGAGGAATCCAAGTGCAGCTCCAGGGATGGAGCCATGTCCGGAGCAGAGCTCGTGGATGTGGAGGGGAGGCAGGAAGCCACATTAAATCTTATTTTGTCCATCCTCTAGTGCTTCCTGAGCATTAATTGCTTTTCCAATCATTAATCACAATTCCAGAATAACGGAGGTTGGAATTCCCAAATGGTTTGGGTTGGAAGGAACCTTAAAACTCATCCAGTGCCATCTCTGCCATGGCAGGGACACCTTCCACTGTCCCAGGCTGCTCCAAACCTGGTCTTGGGCACTGCCAGGGATCCAGGGGCAGCCACAGCTTCTCCAGGCACCCTGTTCCAAATCCTACGTGAAAACCTGAAGGAAACCTAACTCAGAAATCTTCACCTCATTCCCTTTATCCCCTCAACATCCAAATATCTTCCTACCCCGTGCTAAATGAGAATTTTCCCCCTCATTTACAAGTGTTCGCATAACACACAGGTGTCGCATCTGGATGTTCCAAGCACAGAAAATTCAGGAACTTGGTTAAAGGGGAAAGGTGAGGGTTAAATCCCAGTGTGAGGGGTGATCCTGGGGTGTCCCACTGCAGAGATCTCCCCCTTCCCTGGGGATTGGGGCTCTGGCTTACCGGGAGGACAGGCTGGGCTTGCCGCTCTTGCTGCAGCTCGTGTAGAGCCCGGGGCCATCGTCGAAGAAACTGCCCAGGGCCAACTTCTGCCTGATGGACTCACGCTCATTCTTCTGGGCCTGCAGCGAGGGACAGGGTCAGGCTGAGGGGAGGGACACGGGGATCAGGAGCTGGGGAGGACACATAGAAGGATGAAGCTCTGGGAAGGGATAGGAAAGGATGAAGCGCTGGAAAGGAACATGGAAGGATGAAGATCCAGGAAGGGACAGGGAGGGATGAGCTCTGGGAAGGACACATGGAAGGATGAAGATCTGGGAGGGGACAGGGAGGGATGAAGCTCTGGGAATGGACAGGAAAGGATGAAGCTCCTGGAAAGGACACATGGAAGGATGAAGATCTGGGAAGGGACAGGAAAGGATGAAGCTCCTGGAAAGGACACATGGAAGGATGAAGATCTGGGAAGGGACAGGAAAGAGTGAAGCTCCTGGAAAGGACACATGGAAAGATGAAGATCTGGAAAGGGATAGGGAGGGATGAAGCTCTGGGAAGGACATATTGAAGGATGAAGCTCTGGGAAGGGACAGGAAGGCATGAAGATCTGGGAAGGGACAGGAAAGGATGAAGCTCCTGGAAAGGACACATGGAAGGATGAAGATCTGGGAAGGGACAGGAAAGGATGAAGCTCCTGGAAAGGACACATGGAAAGATGAAGATCTGGAAAGGGATAGGGAGGGATGAAGCTCTGGGAAGGACATATTGAAGGATGAAGCTCTGGGAAGGGACAGGAAGGCATGAAGATCTGGGAAGGGACAGGAAAGGATGAAGCTCCTGGAAAGGACACATGGAAAGATGAAGGTCTAGGAAGGACACATGGAAGGATGAAGATCCAGGAAGGGACAGGGAGGGATGAGCTCTGGGAAGGACATACGGAAGGATGAAGCTCTGGGAAGGGAAAGGATGAACTCTGGCCAGGCCAGGGCACAGGAAGGAGACTTGTCCTGCTGGTCCCACCACCAAGCTCAGCACATCCAGCATCTCCCAAGCCTTCCACACCTGGATCAGCCACAGAGCACATCCCAATGGGAATCCCCATCTCTCTCCACATGGAACCAGCCTGGTCTGGGTTGGAAAGGACCTTAAAGGGCATCTGATTGCACCCCAAACTCGCTGATAGATATATCCTGGTATATTCCCCAATATCTGTACCTATATCCACACACAGCCACCTCCATCAGCATCTTCCACTTCCCTGAGCAACTTCCAACCCCACCAAAATCCTTCTCCTGCCAGCGTGCCCAGGGATGGATTTTGAACCACTGTCATCAAATTATCCCTGGGTTTAAAAATGTATTTCTATTAATAAATATAAACAAAACACAAGTATAATTATAAACATAAATACAGCCACAAACACAGTCACAACAATAAACATAAACATAAATATAAGTACAGGAGTTTTAAAATAGCAATCAACAAAACGATTTGCAATGAATCCCCGATCAATAACTGTGCAATCAATGTGCAATAAATGCAAATCTCAGCTCCAGATTCAAAACCTCCCCCAGTGTCTGTCACTAATGGGTCACGTGCCAACACTGACAACAAATTCAGGAAGTTATTGGTGGAAGGAACACTTGGAAAGCCTCAAACATTTAATTATAAAATAACACTCAATACCCAATCCAGAAAACACAACAAAAAGAAATAGGGCAGGCAAGGCTGGGCTGCCTCCATGGGGTTAATTCGTGGAATTGTGCTTCCCATATCCCACCTCAGGAAAAATAAAGCACTTTTTTGTACAAGGAAGTGTGACAAAATGCAAATTATTCACCTAAAATAACACATGATTTAATTCCAGCTCCAGTGCTGATTATACACATTATTACCCTGCCCATTAAATTGTCAATCCCTTACCAAAATAATTCATTTATAACCTAACTCCTTTTATTTCAAATCCTTAAAATAACAAAAATAAACCCCATGACACCAAGCAGTACTGAGTTTTTGGGCTGAGCTCCAGGTTCCTGAAGTTTTACCCAGACCATTTTGTTTTTAGGTCTCAATAATCAATACCTCAATCACATGGAGACAGATTTAGGATTAAAACCAGCCAGCCCTGCTGGGGAGGGCAGAACAGGGGGAAATAAAAGAGGAGAAATGAGTGAAAATCATTTTTAATGAACTGAAAGCAGAAGGAGGGAGGTTGGTGCCAGCTCATCGTGCTGCCCATCTCAGGGTGCCCTTGGCTGTGCCACTGCACCAATATCCCATCAAGTCCTGGAAATTTCCCCCTTTCCCGGCTCAGAGGATCCTCTCCCACATCTTCCCACCTAAATCTGACTTTCCTTGTGCTGCAGCTGAAATGCAGCCCACAGCCCATGCCCACCTCCTCTCCAGCTGGGACCTCTCCCTCCCCGAGCATCCCCACCTCCTCCGTGGGCACCAAAGCTGCTCCTTTCCCATTAAAACCAGCCAGGGTTGGACATTTCTCCTCCTTGCTGGTGGATCTGTGTCTCCAGATCTGTTTTAACATTGCTGTTTCCCACTGCTCCCAGGCTGACATCTGTACATTTAATCATCGTGCAATTTGTTTTCTCCAGCAGGTCATTAATGAGGATTCTCTGTAACTCTGCTCCCAGGACTGAGCTGGGAATATCCCATTTTCCAAGGCAGGCCCAGGCTAACGACCATAAAGAAATCCAGAGTCCTATTTGTTATTATAAAATGGGGAGCAGTTAGTAAGAAATAAAATATACCTGAGGGAACTGGACTTTTGACTCTGGATAAATTACCTGACAGCTGCACTCGAAATCCAGAGCTGAGTATGAAAAATTGTAAATGGAGAAGGGAAACAGCAAGGTGGGTTTTGACTGTGAAATATTCTGCCTTGGTATAGAAGGAATAATGGGTCAAATCCTCAAAATGCAAAGGTAACTCCAAGGAAAACATAACTCCGTGGTATTTAAATGTGTATTTTGGCACTGACCCAAAAAATAAAAGCGTTTCTGCTCTGTGCAGAGCTGAGCACAATCCAGTTCTCACAATGATTTTAAACAAAAAGCAGCTTTTGATTTTTAAGGGGGGAACAAAACAATCTGGGGTGGATTTTCCTTCTTCCCCTCGACCTTCCCTGTCGGAAGGGCAGCAGTGCCTGGGAGGGGAACACAGCTCCAGGGAACAGGGACACGTGTCACACAGCCCTGGGATAATCCTGCTTTGGGATGGAAGGGACCTCAGAGCTCATCTCATTCCAGGGAAGGGGCAGGGACACCTCCCACTGTCCCAGGAGCTCCCAGTTCATCCAACCTGGCCTTGGGCACTGCCAGGGATGCAGGGGCAGCCCCAGCTGCTCTGGGAATCCCATCCCAGCCAGGAATTCCCAATTCCCAATGTCCCACCCATCCCTGCCCTCTGGCACTGGGAGCCATTCCCTGGATCCTGGAGAGGAGAAGGATCCAGGGAGAGCTCAGAGCCCTGGCAGGGCCTGAAGGGGCTCCAGGAGAGCTGGAGAGGGACTGGGGACAGGGATGGAGGGACACCCAGCAGGAGCACTGGGACACCAGCAGGAACACTGGGACACCAGCAGGAGCACTGGGATAGCCAGCAGGGACACTGGGATCTCAGCAGGAATACTGGGACACCCAGCAGGGACACTGGGACACCAGCAGGGACACTGGGACATTCGGCCAGGCCACCAGGGCTATTTTTGCCAGGCTCTGTCATTCCCAGCCCAGCCCAGGCCTATATTTAAAGCCCCAGAGCCACAGGCAGCGTCTCACTTTATCTCTGCCCTGCACAGGGGCTATTCTGGGATTTATAAACAACATAAGATCACAGAAAATGTGGGTTTATCTCCTTTTTTCTTCCCGGGGTAAATGCAAACCCAAGTCAAAACTTGTGACCCAAGTCAGAGCAAAGTGACACTTGACAATGTGCCTTAAACCCCCGTGGGTTTCCAGGCAGGAGAAAGCCTTTGGAAGCTTCCCCTGCTATTTTATCACCAGGAGATAAGGAAAGAAGGAAGGAGGAAGGTTTGCCCGTGCCAGCACTTTACAAACCGCGGATTCTCCCTGCTCCAGCCCCCGAATCCCACCGGGCTGGGCGGGCCCGGGCAGCATTCCCGCAGCGTTCCCGCAGCACGGCGGCACACAAAGGCTCCTTTCTGTCCCTCTCTGTCCCTTTCTGTCCCTTTACCTTTCTGTAGCTGCCCTCGGCGGGCGGCGGGGATGCTTTCCTGATGACGTCACCCATTCCATCACCCCGCTCCCGGCTCCCGGTGCTGCCCCGGCGCCGCTCCCGGCCGCGCATCGCACCGGGAATGGGGCTGCTCGGCCGGGATGCTCTTCCCGCACCTCTCCGCTCCCCCGGCACCTTGCTGCTCCCAAATAAAGGCAGCGAGCCCCGGGAGAGGAGCTGGGAATCCGCGTCCTCCTCCAGCCGCTGCCAGCGCCGGATAAAAATAACCCCGAGCTCCAGCGGCTGCACAAGGGCAGGAAAAATGCCGGTGTCTGATGTCAAACCCCGGGCTGGCCGTGCTGCCGGGCCGGGAGCGAGGGGCTTCCTCCTTCCCTTCCCTTCCCTTCCCTTCCCTTCCCTTCCCTTCCCTTCCCTTCCCTTCCCGGGCTTTTTCCCAGGGAAGTTATACCAAGGAATTCCCAGGATCCACCACAGGGATTCAGGTCCCACAAACGGGAACCACAGCTGGAATTGTTACTCCATGTGAAACCCACCAGCAAGGACCCCACGGAGCTGTTCTCCAGCTAAACTGGCTCTTCCAAGTGTAAAAAAACCCCAAATTTATTGGAATTAAGCATCAGAGGCACCCAGCCTAACCCTGTGGGTGTGGAGAGCCTGGGGATTCCCCAGAATTCCATCCCTGGCTCCTGGGGGGACACAGAGCCTGCAAACCCGGAGCTTCCATTCTCCTGCCTGGAAATCCAGGCTTCCCAAGGGCACCACCGACCCCCTGCCACACAAATCCCGCTCTGTCCCTGCTGAGATCCCATCCCAGCCGGAAGGGTTTGTCTGGATCAGCTCTGGAGAGCAGAGCTCACACTCAGGGCAGGAATTCCCAAAAGGAATCCTTAGGAAAATGGAATTATGCCACAGTTTCTCCCCA